GTCGTACACACGACCTGGTCATTGGGACTTCACTCCATCTCACCTTGTGCCCATGCGGTGATTGCTTTTGCCGGGAGTTCACCTCTCGGGTCGTAACTATAATCAATCATAACATATCGCATATCACAACTGCCTCCCCCTTTTTTCAAAGGTTCATGCCATCCAGTGGAGAGTGGACCCGTGCCCCTACAATTGCGTGATTGTTCAATTTGGTTTTGGGGGGTGCCTGGTGAAGCAAATATACAATATATGCATACATTTGCAAGGAATAGTGGAATCACTCATCACCTGACCAGCAAGCTCACACAGTCATTCTCAAACTTGATGTCCGGTTTGGGGACACAGAGAGTACAGAAATGCGAATTGGAAAATCGGCAGTTCCAGTTCGGTTCCAGGAGCACCTCGCTCAGAAGGAACCGTGTCTCACCAAGGCTTTGATTGGTTCATGGTGGTGCGAGATCCGGTGCATCGCGCCATCTCTGAATATTACTGTCCCTGGACCGGGACCAAAACGCCGCAATCTGACACAGAAGATGCTTGGAAGATTGGAAGTTCAGCCATGTTCAGCCTAATCCTGCATGCGCAGGGTGGCGGATGGCACAACATTGACCACATTTTTGAAGCAAAAGACTCGACGAGTAGCAAAAGACCTCAAAAAGCGATATGTTTATGCATTTGTTCGTTACCGAAGGCATGGTGTTAGGCATGATCTCGAGCGCCCGAGATCCGTCATCCTTCTTGTCAGATTTGGGAGAAAAGATGATGAAGCCTTTGGTTCGCAGAGGATTTCATGGGTTTTACTGCGACCAGACGTCCCACTGTTGATGTCAATTTATGGAACTGTTGTGGGTGGAGGAAGACTTTTGTTATGGCAGGGACGGCAGGGATATCAACTTCTTTTGTATAGATCTTCTGGAGATTAATTAGAGATCTGCCTCCAGTTCCTTTTGGTAAATGGCATTTGGCAAATGGCGGCGAAGTTGCTCCACTCAGGACTCGTTCAACCACTTTTTGCACCTTCGAATGCAGTGAGCTGCTGGTGCGTTTGAGGCGCCGGAGTTCGATTGTGTGTAGGGGTGAGGGGTTGTCAAAGCTTGCGAATTGAAGCCGGCACTACATGACCACCCTGGCTGCATTCATGTGTGTTGCATGCCCTCAAGACAGTGGTAAAGTTTGTAGGGTTGCCGACGTCATTTTGCTTGAATTGGCCGAAGGCTTCCCCAGCCATTGGAATTCTAGTAACTATTGCAATGTGCAAGAATCTCTTGCACTCCTTGAAATCATGGAAGTGGATGGCATGGCTTCTTGGATGACCATGTTCCTGCACAAAGAGGTGGTGCACTCCACATAACGTAACAATGATCTTTCCAGGAGTGCCAGCATTTCACAGGCCTGGAAATCCATTTGAGCGGATTCCTTCGTCACGTTTGCCAATTTGCTGTGTGATGATATATTGTTGTATCCCATACACTCCATGGGACTACCATATTTGCCGATCAGTTGGGGTGGTTTCGGGGTTCAATGTGTGTATATAGGCATATATTCCATACATGCAGTGTGTGGGTATTGTGTTGTAATCAATGGAATGAATCACCCCTCAAAGCCTTTTGGCCGTCATTCTGTTTTCGGGGGGCGGCACAGCACATGCCACGCAGCACCGCTCTCCTGGTCCAAGGCAAGGCGCTTTGGATGGGACGCGCTGGCTTCATCCTGGGAGCTTTCGAGAGATGTCCGTGGCTCGTTGCCGAAGTACCCGATACGCAAAGTACCGGATCCTGCAGAAAACCCACATGGACTCAAAAGCACAGGGGCCCAGCTCTTCGGATCCCTTGGTTGTTCTCGGTCGAAACCACGGGGGCGCTTTTCAGGGTCCATGGGGTCGGCTTTTCCGGGGGGTATCACTTGATGTGGCGCTCATGCTGGTGCTCCATGACTTCGAATGACTTCAGAAGACGTCACCACTGCACTGGTCATGTTGACAGATCTTCCCCAGCAATGCCGCAGGAGTGTACCCATCCAAAGTTGCATTGTGAATGGCTGCCTGATCCCTCAAAAACGATAAAAAAACGTTCTCATAGAATCCTCCACCAAGAGGGAAAGAATACGAACAAATCATGTGTGATCGATGTGTTTGTTGCCCAGATCTGGATCCTTCAGATCCTTCGTCTTCTGACCCGTGGCTCGTGGCGCTCGAACTCCGCGTGTCCCAGCAGTCGTCCTCGTCCGCCGTTCGACACCAAGAAGTACTTGGACCCCAGCAGCGTGCAGCACATCCTGCACTTTGAGACCTTGTCCGCCGACTTGAAGAGGCGGTACCCGTGTCCCGCTGGGAACCGGACATGCTCCCGCACGCCGTGCAGGACGCCATTCATTTGGGCCCCCACAGTTCGCAGGGTTGCAAAGACCCATGGTTGATACCAACAGGGATCATTATATGTCATGGTATTTCACGCATATTCAAAGAAGCTTGAAACATGCCAGGCATGACAAGCCTTCACTGAACACGACCCAGCACTGTGCTCGTTGCCCAAGAGCAGTAGTTGAGGTATGTTGAGGTTATATAAGCAATATGACGACATAACCCGACTCCTAGCATCTCCTAGCTCGAGGCATCCATGAAGTACAAATATCAAGAAGGTGTCGAATCATATGCCAGACTTCCACATCAATGGTGATGGTTCGTTGTCTCAGCCAGGCTCCTGCCTTTGTATGGCATCCATTTTGATGGCTTGCCCAAGAAGAACCAGGTCAGCGCTGTAGGTCGTGCTCGGAAGTTGTGCGGCACAACTTGTCACTAACACTCCTCCAGCTCAGTGCTGCGACACCCCAAAAAGTAGGGCGGAAAAATCCCTCAAGGAGTCCGATCCCCCCAGAGATAGGAGTCCGGCAAATGATGAACGATGCAGCGGCCGTGTCGTTCGCGCGGACACGGATCACAAGGGACGTAGGAATCATATGGAATTGGAATCGTGTAGACGAAGACGCGAGATGCCTTACGATGGCCACATCGATCGCACGTGGATGTGCAATTTCAATGTTCTCGCTAGCCCAAAGACCATTTGCTGGTCACTTCCAGGCTACGGGAGAGAAGTTCGACAGCAAAAACCTGCATCCCAAAACCTTGCAGCTGATCCGCAGCAAATACGCGGCGGACTTCCGGTTCCTCGGTCTTTTCCACCGGTGTCCGGCTCTGCGAGCGGTCGAGTTCTACCGGGCATGACATGATGGGTTTTGGGAAGTGCCTGAACGGGAATTAAAAAAGCAGACATGTTGGGCATCAATTGGAGCTAAATTGGCTAAAAGGTGACTTCAAAATCATGGATAGGTGGGGCAGGATGCTGGTATATTCTGGGTGTTATTCAGGAACATGTCGCGTTTCAGGCTGAAGGAAGGTGCCTCTTGGAACCTGCGCCGAAACCATCGGATTCCGCCGGTCACTTCGGCCCGAGGAACTTCAACTACACTCCGCCAGAGAGATAACCAAACCGCAGAACTTGAGCACAACGTCCACTCTGCCGGAGCTTGGTGGAGGACAGGCTTGCCTGTCAAGCCGGCTTTGCCTGGTTTTGAACATGCAACTGACATGCAACTGCTGATATGTGTGGTTATGTAAGGTGAAGAGGGTATTCTCTTCCAGAGATTGCGTTTCATGAGTTTGTGTTTTCCTGTTGGGTCATGCCAAGAAAGCAATGTTCAAGGGTTTTGCTCAATGGAGCATTGCCCAAAAGGAAGCTGAGATTATTTAGATATAATCAAAGGCTAGGAACAGGTGTGCAGCAGGCTGCCAATCATAGCAACTATATGTAGATATATATGTGGTGGAGATTCATACCGCCCCTTCAAGTTTTGTGGCTCAGCGCCCTCACAAAAGATCGGTTGCGTTTTGTTGGACAGCTGATTCTACTCCCCAGTGGGCGACTCAGGTGTTAAGAATTGAGCCAATTACGTGGCTTTGACACAACACATGAGGACTGCCAGGCATTGAGATGTCGACGGCCTAGCTTCACAGCGGCAGCCCGGCGGCGGTCATGCCAGGCATGGGAAGAACATGCTGGGCCCCCGTCACCTAAATGTTTCAAAGGTCAAATGAACATAATCATCGACACCAAGCAGGATGTGAATGACCAATTCCGTGGGTTTGGGCGGGAAGATCGTTTGTGTTACTTCCTGCAACCAAGGAGTGCGTTCGCTGCCACTTCGCCATCGCATGCCCCGCACGAAAGCGCTGGCTACATGGATGCTGCACGTGAAGAGCACAGGTTTGATGTGAGATTCTGCGTGGGAGGAGCTGGAGAAGTGGTGGAGCACCTTGTGCTCCCTGAGAATCCCTGACAACGTAAGAGACCAGCGGGTGGTGTCTTTGTCAACTTGGTGAAAAGGCCACGATCCTGCAGGTGATACATGGTGAAACAAGTGCCGAGCGCTCCGCGAAATGGGCTGTGTTTTTACAGGGTCTTCACCCAGCAAAACCTGGGCGTTCATCGCGTTGAGAAGACTTGATGTCCACAGTCGGTGACGGCTCACAGGTCGATCCAGGAAGGGTTCCGTCAGGCGTTTGGAGTCTGCGTTTTGACTGTATTCGTTCCAAAGATCCCAAAGCGAGCAGTAGCTGTGGGCCATTTGAGACCGTTTATAGTGAATTGGTTGAAATATCCTTCCATTTTGATCATTTGGGCTTGATCAAGGTTCTACTGGATCAACTTGTAAGCTCCACACATCAGCATGATCAACTTGTTCGCACCACCTGTGCTATTTTTCCACCATCACCCACCTCCGTGTTGCCACCTCAAACGGCAAATTGCTCAGAATAGGTGAACATGTTCAGAGCTTTCTGGGAAACGTGCTACACAAAAAAGGATCAAAGTAGATCCACCAAGCTTTCAGTGGCGTTTGAGGCAGAAAAGTCCGTCTTTGCAGTCTGAGAAACCTTTAAAACTCCTGGAACCTTTGACCTGGGTCTTTGGATGTGAGCTGGTTCCAGCCGATTCCAGCTGTGGCAGGTACACCGGACGCATGATTTATCGCGGCCTGTGCGAGGCGTGGCCGGAGGTCGGTCAAAGTCCCTCACTTCGTGCAATTGTATGTGTAAAGTGCGCTTTTTAAGACGAGAAGGCAGACAAGAGGCCACACACACCAATAGATCAAAATAGATTAAATATACATTAAATAAGAATGTGATCGCTTGATGTACACTGCACATCCGTATGACTCCAACGCGAGGCGCCCTCTCAAGAAAGCTAGACCAGTTTGCACCGAAATCTCAACTGCTGACCATGGATTCACCGGTGGCTCATCCGAGTCAGGTGGAAGCCATTCACGCCGATGGCATCTTGGCATCCAGCAGTGTGGACGATGGGTGTCACACATATATACACATACACACATATATATATATACAGTGGATTGAGAGTAGATGGCACAAACCCCAAGATGTCTTTTATATAGGGGTCCATATAGACCACCTTTTGAGGGTTGTGCCATCTACTCTCAACCCACTGTATACACATGTTGTGTATACGTTTGGCTTTGCTCCTTGTCTAGACTCGTTTGACGGTTGTGACGCGGACGTCCTTGTCTTCGGGTCTCATCGAGTGGGACCTGGCTTTGGCTTTGGTCTCCCGCGTACACTCGCGCCCGTTCGAGTGGAACTTGGACGGAAGGGAGGAAGGAACTTGGCTTTTGGTCCTGAGACCCTGAGGGGGAAGTTGCATTGGACCGTATGGGTTGACCATCGAAGTACAGGAACCATCGAAGGGCAATCCTCGAGAGTTCATCGCCTTAGGCGGGAAAATGCATGAAGTGTCATGGATGTATGATGCATCCCAGAAATTTATAGAAGTGATTCCAATAACTCATTTTATCCCACCTCCAAGTCATAACCCACCACTACCAAAGAGGTAAATTGAGTAATTTGGACTCTCAGGGTAGGCAGGGCCATGCCGCAGACCACTTGCAGCAGACCACGGGTAGGCGGACCAGTTGTGCGGTCTCTCTATGTGGCTTCTCAGGTTGTACGGTCTCTCTATGTGGCCATGAGAACGGCAACTTCATTTGCTATCCAATTAGCCACTGGAGAAGCAGAGATGTGGAGGTCTTGTGAAAGTTCGTAGGGACGTGGCACCTGGCCCATGGCGAATCACACCAAGCATCCGAAAATAGATTCGTTTCAGGGTGGCTCAATATTGTGCAAGCATTGTTGGCATACCCGGTCCTGCCTTTCTCGTTTGGTTGTGAATCCAACCCTTCCGGCGAGTCCCGCTTACTGGCTTACTGTCCCACTGAGAATGGGAATGGGCACAAACGGCTTGATCGCACATGGACAAAAGCCCATCATTTGACCTCGAGACTCAGCAGCCAAGAGGCACTAGATTTGGGGCCCTGATGATTTTTCACAGTCAGTAAGAGTGTCTTCAAGATTCTTCAATGATGTAGTAAGATTAGAATAGCAATAATGCAGGAGGAATTAAGTTGTAGAACAACTTTAACTAGTTGCACAAGCCGAAGCAATCAGACTTAGAAACACACTTCTATAAAAGGAAAGGATTGGCATGGATTGGCCTTGAGCCTGAACCTTCAGCCCTCAAAGTTCAAGCCAAGCCCCTGCGTTGCGGGCGTTGCTGAGGCGAAGGGATGCGCGAAAAGGGCCAGTTCCTTTGCAACTGGGGCCTTTGTGTTTTAAGGTGCGGTGTCAGATGGTGTCAGGGGGAAACGCTGCAGCAACTGCTGTGGCCCACCTGACCCTGGATCATCCTGGTGCGGTGTCAGGATGCCTAGATCCATCGTGCGATTCTTTCGCGAGTAACTTCAGATGGATCTGGCTCCACTTTTGGAGAGAGAAAAGGCCCTCCGATTCCGCACATCTTCGAAGTATACTAGAAAGTATACTAGAATACTAGACTTTTAAGGTGGCACCCGATGTTTGATCCAAAGTTTGATGAATATCGATATATTAAAAAAGCTATGTGCCAGAAGCTATATAGCTATATAGCGTTTTAATATAGCTATATATAGATATATTTATATACCAGAATTTCGATGAACTTCGTGGCTTTCAATGGGAGCCCACGCGGGTGAAGTTCACCTCGACTGGCAATGGCTGGGGATAGTGATGATCGGGTTGACGCAGAGGGGTTGTTCCGTGCACAGGACGCACCCCGGTGGAGAAGAGAAGTGGACCTCGGAGGCAACACTGGAGGCAGGAAAAGCTGAGGGGAAGCGCAGCTGGGGGGGGCATCGCAGGGCCTTCTCCGTGCAGACTGTTGGGGCATGCCGGAGAAGGATGCCCTCCCAGATCAACATGGAAACCTGAAAACATATGAAAACCACTGGGTAATAGAGAAAAAAGTCTTCCAAATGTCCATGTTCAGGTTCCATGTTAAGCTTCCTGGATGCAAGTGATTTCGGTGCACATGGGTCCAACAACCTTCCAAAATGGGATTCGTGGTTCACATGTTTAAGCCACATGTCAGACCATGTCAAATCCCGAAATGGTGAAGAAATGATGAAGAAATGCCTAGGCCTAGCAGTCGTAGAGAAGCAGCGTTGGGCTTTTTCGCGACCTGTTCTAAAGTTTTGATCTATTCAGATGACAGTGGTTTCAGAGGTTCGATGGCACTGACCCCGTTCGATGTCCTAGACTGGTCAGGGGGGTCCACTACTAAACCACCATCTCTTGGGGTCTGTGCCATTGGTCCTCTCAATCCACTATAGATGTTGAGGCCCCAAACCTACAGCTCGGATCGGCCCCAGGAGATTCGAGAGGAGCGGGCGGACCCGTGGAGAGGGCGAGGGCGGACCCGTGGAGAGGGCCCGGTGCGAGGGTGGACCTGGAGGTGGGGCGATGCCATGCACAGAATGGCGTCCATGAAAGACCAGTGATGTAGACTCATGATTCATCAAACCCCCCATGTGAAGAGGTTGTTCAATCCAATGGGTGGGGAGTCAGTACGCGGCAAGGGATGTAGTAGAAGCGTCCACGGACCGCAAGTGAGCGCATCCAATGGGTGGGGGGTCATTAATCAAGAGTCTACATTAAGAGTCGGTAAAAGACCAAAGGCCTGCAACCTAACTATCATCATCCACTGGGCCCTGGCAATGGGATCATGTTCCTTTGAGATCGTTGGAGCTTAAGGGGTTTGACCGGAAGTGGTAAACTGGACACAGAACTTCTGGGACGACGTCACATCCCAAGATCGCCCAGTCGATGATTTCACACCGACCATGGTGAAAGTAGGTCATGGTCAGTCGACTCATGGAAACTGATAAGACTGACCCAGTGAGAAAAAAAACTGACTCAGTCGACGTCAGTTGGTTTTGACCGGTTCTTCAGACCTACTTGACCCAGTGCAAGTATTGAGACCGAGACAACTGACCCGATCGCTAATCAGTCATCCCGCCTGGCTCAGCTTGTGCGGAGCTCGCCCTGCGCAACTCCGTCCTGGCGGCTCAGCTCTCAGGAGCTTGAGGAGTTTGGTGGAAACCGCTTTGCAGGAGCGACCCTTCGACCCATTGACCCGGTGAGAGTGGTTGCTATTACCGGCATGTTGAATCAACTGTCTCATTCACCTTCCAGGAAAGATGGAGGAAACGCCGGGCCTACTGAACCCAAAAACCGAAGCTTATACTATAGTCTTTTTTACAACAATGGCACACACGGACTCGCCGGAGGACATGTGAAGCTGACCGAACCCTTCGGAGCCGCGCCGAACCGGACTCGCGCCCCGAACTCGCCTCGCAGGACTCACACCTCTCCAGCTGGCCGTCCCCCGGCGGGAAGAGGCGGTGCGGGCAGGGTGGAAGACCGAAGGCGCAACATGGTAGAGCCTTCAGGCCGTTGACCCATAAACTAGAGAGAGAGAGAGAAAGAACAAAGAAGGCACACTCTGACATTGGTTTGCACTTAACTCAATTCCCAGGAAGAAAGGGGATGGAACCGAAAGGTGAAAGAGTCGGAGCACTTGAAGGTATTTTAACAAAGGAGTTGTTCACTTGACTGCGGAAGCTAGTTACTGCATTAGCCCTTTACTGCAAGAACGGTAAGGTGCAAGGGTCCGAAGAACAGAACTGTTTAACAAACGCACTAGCACTTTACCAAAGCTAAGGAAACCTGTTTTGG